TTATTATTATTATCATCATCATTATCATTATTATCCTTACGCAAGCACGCTGATTGAAGAATTTTCTCGGCGAAAGATCCCTGTGCGAGTGCCTTAAAGGAGCGGGCCTCGTACATCTCGCCGGTACTGGAGGCAAGTTTGCTGACTTCGTCTCTGTTCACAAAGGGACCGATGCCCAGGGTCACCACCTGAGGAAGATAAGATACGATTAGAGTACTTGTTTATACCGGAACCTCCTGAAAACCACGCAAAACCTCCCGAAACCTCAACATTTCTAAGACATGATGTTATTTTGCTATGCCATCTATCGCTCTGAGAAAAAAAAAATGATCTGTAATACAATATTATCGTATTTGGATACTTCTTTTGTTTTAGTAAGTGTTTTACTGCTCTTGCAACACGATAAGGTCAAATAAGTGCCGAAGATTAGAGGTGTTACAAGAGAGCAACAAACACAAAAAAGAAGAAGGGGAGATAAAGACGATAGATGTTTGATAGGAAAGAAGGAGAAAATCACACCAGAGCACCCGTCAACCACCAACTAGGATACTTTTTTATCCTGAATAATTTATTTAAACTAAAAAAACAATACAATAGCATTATAAGAGACAATATTTCACTTGGTTTGACTTACTTGTTTTTAAATTTTTTTTATTACAAACACTTTTTATTTGGCATGCACATAGGAAAAGCATATATCTAAAAATTGTCTTAGACAGTTTTTGGTATAAGGTTTAGTTTTCCTTCTCCGGCACTTAAAAAGTCGGCTTATTGCATAACTGAAAAAAAGGGGAAAAATCACTTTCTGACGCCATTTATCAAAAGGAAATGGAAAATTGGCGCTCATATGACCTTATGCAATTGCGAGCGCCGTAAAACCTCTACTAAAACAAACATAATCTTATCCGGTACTTCTTTATACCGGAACCTCCCGAAAACAACAGAAACCTCCCAAAAACCACCCGAAACCACACAAAAACCACCCGAAACCACACAAAACCACCCGAAACCACACAAAACCTCCCGAAACCCCCTCGAAATTTCTATAATAGGATGATATTTGCTATGCTATCTATCGCTCTGTAGATAAAATATTCTGTCGGGAGGTTCTTGGTTCTTTCTATAAGAGAAAATGATGGTTTGTGAAATTTTTGTTCAACTTCATTTTTTATTTTGTTTTAACTGATGAGTGACTGCTCAGGTTGCAATTATAAGAGTTTGTACTTCTTAGAATTTTAATTACTGTTGTAGTAGTATTCAAGTACAGATTTTTCACATAATGTAATGATGCGGTATTTAATTTCTGTTATCTTGTGCATGTTGCGAAGTATTCTATGGAGAAGTGACCATGAAGTGACCCCTAAAATGTTTCTGGGTGAAATTATTAAAACTTGGGTTATCATTTATTGTATAATTTTCCTGGATATTTCCTTGACATATGTCCAGAAACGTATGTAAGCGTTTCTATACCCTAAAGTGGTGTTTGAAGGGACTTTAGAGCAGAGGGTGGAGAATTTTAAAAAGAAAATAATTGCCACTTTTTTCTCAAAAGGCATGTTTTACACAGCGTATATGTTTCAGTTTTAGTAAGAAACATTTATTCTAATTTTACTGTGTTATTATTATTAAGAAGCTGCCGTGTTCGAGTTTAAAATATGTTTTTGCGGTTTCTAATTGGAAAGAGAACTATTTTGACCTTTAGTGACCTTTATCGGCCGTTTTCTTAAAATGCTATTTTCACACACTTTATCCAATTTTCTTGCTGTATCTTATTTGATTTTACTGTAACTTTCACAGAATGCTAACGACACCTAGTTCTGGAAACTGATGTCAACAGAGAAGTCCTTACAGGGAATCAGACTTACTCTGCTCACCTCTCTTGCTTCAACAGCACAAAGTCTGCTTCGACTACCAAGGCACCCCGGAAATAGCGGGTCACAAGAGTATGATAAACATACAAAAGAAGTAGAGGAAAATGACGATAGTAAGGATTAGGAAAGAAAAAGCAGCAGTTCCCTGTTGTAGTTCAGGCACAGTTATGAGCATGACATTGTTGGATCAGCCCATTTA